GGAGAATATTAAACTTTTATAAGTATATTTAAGAAAATTTTTTTACCATTTCAGGATAAGGAAGAAAAAATTTAAACAACTCATGAGAGAATGTGAGCTATAAAAAAAAAATCAATACTTTAATATAAAATTAAGAACATCTGTTCATTATTTGACAGCATCAAGGAAAAATAAAAAACCTAGCCACTAAAATGGAGAAACATATATAACTGGTGAAGGATTAATCCAGAATATACAAAGAACTCTTAAATTAAAAAAAAAAAAGACTACCATACAGTGAAAAAGTATCTGGATAACACAGTGGTCAACAAATATATTAAAATGAACTTAATTTCACTGTAATTATAGAAATGCAAATTAAAACCAAAATTACATTTTATTTTAAAAATAAAAAAGACAACTGAAAAGTGAAACACAATTTTGTATTCACTAGATTTGCACAATTTAAAACAAAGAACAATAACAAATGTTGACAAATATTAACAGATAGTCACAAATATAATGTTGACATGAAAAGTAGTATAGATGTAAGAATGCTGCTTGATGTCATTACATAAAAGTTTACAAATTAAAAAGGTAAAAATTTTATCTGTTGCTTAGAAACACATACATATTTATTCAAAAAAAGACAAAAAAAGAAACATATAAATCAGAACAGGGACCACCTATTCAGAGGGAGCTTAAGAGAGAAGGAAATGACATCAAGGTGAGTTACCAGGTAAGTTTAATTGTACTTTGAATTTCTAAATCTTAAGATAAGTGGTAGCTACACAGCATTCTTTATACTTTTCTCCATACCATTTGCATGACTAATATAATTCATGATTAAAATGTATTGTACCTCGAAATAGGTAAAATGAAAACATTTTAACAAATAATAACAGGAAATTCAAGAATAAGAGAAGTAAAACTAATTGTCAACAAAGAAAAGATACTTGTAGTTTTGGAGGTACTATCCTAACATTTTGTGGTTGGAATTAAAATTCTGTCAAAAACACCTGGGAACATATTTTAAAAGCTTCAAAAATCATACACATGCAACATAACAGCAAATCACTAAGAAAATGTCTACAATTCAAACACTGAATTACTTCATGTATTTCTCCCCCTCCCTAAATTTTGTGATTGTTCCACAAAGAATCTGTTAAAAAGGATAAAGAATGCTTATATAAAGCAGGCTGCTTAAATTATGAATGAGCTTTTCACCTTCATTTAACTACAAATACTATTTTTAAGCATCTTGAACAGTAAGATAAAATTTCATTGCATTTTCATCAGTGTTAAAAGTGCTGCATTGAAGATAATGTTATTTATTCATTTATCCACAAAGAACATTATTTTCCATGACTAACAGAAACAATGAAGTATTACTAAACTTGCAAAAATAGCTATAGTGAACAATTAGAACATTTTTTAACAACAACACTTCATTAATTGTTTACCTGTGGCAAAACCAGTAATGGCTCCCCTGTAGTCATGAGCACCTAGAAGGATATACTTGGAGGAATACAAGTCTTCTGATTAACCGCTTCTTTCACTGAATGTATTATATACCTTCAAGGCCTCCAAGTGAAAGCAATGCTTTCTAATGCCTTGTAACTTAAAACTCTGACGTATTAAATATTCTCCACTTTTTGCCACCTTCTTTGGCTTCTTTACCAGAAACTTGTATCTCAGCCTGTACCTCAAAAATTCATTTTTATCTTCTCAGCTCAGTCAGGCATCATACTAAGAATACCCAATACTGCTCTTCATAACTTCCAAAAACCACATGTGAAACCATCAAAAAAAAATTACAAAACAAACAAGACTAAAGAATATCACTGTATGTCAAAAACCACAAAAGCAATCACATGCCAAGCATATGAGAAAATAAAACTTACGAGGTAGATAAGGATAAACTGCAGGGAAACTCAAGGGACTAAATGGTACATTCTGGGTTTTCTTTATGAAAGAGAGAAATCACAACAAAAGTAGCAAGGTATTCTGTACCTTACTCCCCACACTTATCCTGACGGGATGCACCCAAAAGAGAAATTCAAGGACAGTAGTACCAAGTCAAAAACAGAAAAACTTGGTTGGGAGAAGCAATCCACTCCATGTGTTCTTGCTTCCTTTTAAGATTTTCTGGGTTTGCCAAGAATGAAAGGCCCAATCGTTCCTTACCAGGCCCATTTCTCATGAAAATGTTTTCAGAGAGCAACCAGGAGGGATAAGACAAGCTCTACCTCTAGGAAAAGCAGGCTTGCTTACTGCTTGCTATAACAGAGGCGGATTCTCTAATCTCAGTGCTCCTCCTAGAATGCAGCATCCATCCTGGCTAAATCCTATCACCTCTGTGGGACCTGAGGGCAAGGGAAATTGAAGCATGGAGCATGTGGTGAGTAATAAACCTCTTTGTTACTGATCCAGGAAATCGTGTCTTCTGGTAGCATCCATAAAACAGCAACAGGCTAGCTTATTAGCTTCTAAGTGGGGTAAAATAAAATCCCAGACTCAACAACTTTATCCCACTTTGCCTATAAATTACTGGCCATGAAGTAAGGGCAGACTGCAAGAGGCATGATATACTTTCAGAAGTACTTTCAAACAAGTTACATTCTCCAGGAAGAATAGACCGAGGAAAACCTTGTAACTTAATGATACTTTTTCAGATATTAGAAAAGCATAGCATACAGTAAAAATATACTCCAATATTTCTATATGTATTAAGAAATATATTTAAATATGTGAAAGTCATTCAGTGTCCGACTCTTTGTGACCCCAGGGATAGTCCATGGAATTCTCCAGGAAAGAATACTGGAGTGGGTAGCTGTTCCGTTCTCAAGGGGATCTATGCAACCCAGGGATCGAACCCAGGTCTACCACATTGCAGGCAGATTCTTTACCAGCTGAGCCACCAGGGAAGCCCCAGTAGACTGGAGTGGGTAGCTTATCCCTTCTCCAGTGGATCTTGCTGACCCAGGAATCAAACGGGGGTCTCCTGCATTGCAGGCGGATTCTTCACCAGCTGAGCTACCAGGGAAGCCCCTACTTAAATACAGTTAGAAGAAATAATGTATTTTGTGAAAGACTCCTGGAAATACAAAATTAAGACTTGAAATTGCACCTTCCCCTGTAGATCAGAGAAGTGCATCTGACCTCTGCAAATTCAGGGTAATCAACTGACATGTGCGTATAAAGGCTGACTTTGGACAAAATTTGCTTTCTAACCTATTAAAAGTTTTAAGCATAAAAATTGGAGGACCAAATTAAAGTAGGAAGAAAGACTGCCTCTAAGAGCCAAAATGACATTTTAGAAAGCTGACTATATCTTCAGAATAATACAAGCAAACAGATGTGGCTTCAATAAATCAGAAACAGAAATTCATAGGAAAGAACAACCTGAAATAAAAAGTATTTCAAGAAATAAGACAAAAATAATCCCTTTCTACCCTTTTAAGAATATAAATAAATCAACATACAACTAATAGATATACAAAAATTTCCTAAATTCTTTATGGGAGGTGTAAGTATAACAAAATAAATTTTCAAGTTCTAAGCAAAGCAGATTAAGAGATCTAAACCAAGCTACATGCTGGAAAATTATATATATATATATATATTTACACAAACATATGCTATGCTGTGTTTAATCGCTCAGTGTTCAACTGTTTGCAACCCCATGGACTACAGCCTGCCAGGCTCCCCTGTCCATGGGGATTCTCCAGGCAAGAATACTGGAGTGGGTTGCCATGCCCTCCTCCAGGGGATCTTCCCAACCCAGGGATCAAACCCAGGTCTCCCGCATTGCGGGTGGATTCTCTACCAACTAAGCCACCAGCGAAGCTGAAGAATACTGGAGTGGGCAGCCTGTCCCTTTTTCAGGGGATCTTCCTGATCCAAGAATAGAACCAGGGTCTCCTGCAAACTATCAAATTACACAGGGAAGATACAGGTTAAAAATATATATATATATATATACACATATATATATTCAAAGAGAGAAAAAGAAAACAAGAAAACGAAGTAAAAGAGCAAGAAGTATGAAAAAAAGAACCCAGAGAATATAATGGCAGGGATAAAACCAACCACTGCCATTATAAAAACAGAAAGCAAAAGAACAAGCCATGCATTAAATAACACATCATCAATTTATTAATGGCTTATGGCAGTAGGGGAAGACTACTACCACATTATCAGAACATCTGCATTCTAATTTCGGAATAACTGAGGTGTAAAGAACTAAAAGAAATCTTAGAACCAAGATAATAATGATATGCATTATATATGAAACACACAAAAACACAGACAGACTAGTAAAAAGAAAGAAAAAGTAGAAAATGGTCTAAATATACATCAGGAAGAAAAAGACTAAATTAGGTCTCTGGTCCCATTCTAAATTCCCAACTAAAAAGCATGTGATTTCCTCAGGATGGGACATGGGTTCACCCTGGTCCAATTAACATGGTACAGACTTTGTCTCCAGAGCCAGACCTCATGGGGGTTGCACTGAAGGTCATCGTGAGCTGGGCAAAACTGCAATGGAGGTCAAAGATATGTTACGTTCTTTTCTTTCTCACTGCCTTTGTTCCTTTATATTTTCAGATATGTTAGATGTAATTCTCTAATTTCAATGTTCTGCCAGAGCAAAGGTCATGACTGACAATTCGATCATATTCTTTTTAGTTCTATCATAGTACAAAGCACAGAGTAACTAATGAATAAACACATCCTTAACTAGATTCTTTTTCCTCCCTTAAACAGAATCCTTACAAAATAGTCAAACAGAAAACAGGCATGCATACATACATCCCACATTCACACATACACACACACACACATTTTAAACTCTGCTTTGTGCAGTATATAGAGATAAAAAACATATTGAATTAATTTATCAGCCTATTTCCTTAATTAATAAAAATCCTCATACTGTTTCTGAAATGCAAAACGACCACACAAAGTCAGTTATGTATTTTTAAATGTTGGATCTGTTATATGTGTAAACACACACTTACAGGCAAACTGGAGCTTAGCTTCTCTGCTGACAATTGTCCCAACTGAGTTTGTAGCAAAGCATTGATAACTTCCTGTATCCCAATTTCTGTTGGGGTTAATAACCACAAGATTTCCTCTGATCAGCTTATAACGATATTCCATACTCAAATCAATATCGCTTCCATTCAGCTGCCATCTGTAAAACAAATGTCCAGGATTTCTCCCTTAGTATAATTTTTTTTAAAAACCTACATAATAGAATCTACTTTAAACATCAGCTCTCTTATAAATGAAAGGGAACAAATATATCATTCAACTGTTACATAACTGGAAATCAAAGATGCCCCAGTTGTTGTTTTTTTAAACAGAAACAAAAGGTTAAATTATAGTAGAAAGCACAATAGAGTAGTATCTAAAAGCTGAAAGTTTTCAAGATTTTCTGAAGAGGTGAAAAGAATTTAGTTTGTTCACTAGGGGGAAAATTAGTCTAGGTCTGCATAGGCAAAGATGAAGTAGAAAGTTGAGGTAATTATCTCATACACTTCAGGCCAGTCTCATGCTGCTGATGAAGGAGGGGGGAAGCACATTTCTTTGATTTATCCAGACTGACTGAGCACATTTAATAAATTAATTGGGTAAGTGTTCAACTATCCATTTCAATTTGTCTGGGTAAAAACCTGTCCCCGAGGCACCTTCGGCTCGCCTAAGCCATCACAGAGCTATTTACTAAATGGTACACTGTGGTAAAAGACCCTAAATGCCACCTAGAGGGTCGGAAACAATAAAGGCACTAAGCCGAGAGCCATATTTATCAATGGGAAGCCAAAAGAAAAAAACAAAGAAGTTGGTTTTTAAATAAGAGTTTTTAAACAGAAAAACCAGAATTTTTTTAAACAGCAAGCACACCTGACACATCAAAGTCAAAAGTAGACATTATGTTTAAAAACTCATTAAATATCCCACAATCTCAAGAACACATCCATTGTATAAAGCCATCGACCTGCCAGAAGACTTGATTTTATAAGAAAATTACACTGGTATCAGGTCTATAAATTTTAGGGTATTATGGCAATAATCATCTCAATTTCTCTTTATAATAACTTTCAGAAAATGGGTAATAAAATGCCCATTTCACAGATGAGAATTTCAATAAAACAGCTGAATGAACTGTTGTCAACTTTCTCCAAACTCTTAATTACAGATCAGAGCTACTACCCATTTGAATTCTGGCCCAGAGGTTTTTAACCATGTCATGGGTCATATAAATATTTAAACTGGAAATAGTAGCATTGTGAAAGCACATAAAGTATTGTGAAATGTGAACATTATCACAAATCAAACTGCATAAAGTTAAATGAAATATCACATAGCTGTGAAAAATGTATGAGATTTTGTAAACATAGAAAAGCCTTACAAAGGTGAAAACATTTTTTCAAAATGCAGGTTGATAATGTATAGAAAGTTCCAAAATATATAAAGTAATATTAAGCAAGTATTAAACACGTTTTAAAATGTATAAGAACAAAACACTTCAAGTTTAAGGTATTTTAGTGCTTTCACAGAGTGAAGAGCGAGAAAGGGTTACAGGGCAAGCAGTGGGAAATTTAGCCTTTTAGGTTTGATTTCTTAAACTGAATACTGTTTCATGGATATTCATCATTACACTTGACTATATGTTTATATCATTTTCTATACCTGAATAGTAGAACATAAAACAATTTAATACTAAGAAATGAATACATTTACAAATTTAGTTTCTATTGATCAAAATAGTATTTTATCATTTGCTCATCTTAAAAATTAAGACTTCCTTGATTTTTCTTTCTATATTCACATAGAAGACTCAAGGTTTAAAGCAAAATTCTGAAATTAAGAGGAAAATCTGGAGGCCTCATGTCTTTTCTTTTGAGCTACAAGAACAAAATGATAAAGTAATAGAAAACACCATAACCGCCTTCTCATTTGTGGCAGATTTTTGCTATTGGTTTGATTTTACTTGGCTTGTACAGTAACTCTCATGATCTTTCCCAAGGCAAGTCTATATTTGCATGTCTTTTAGATTACTTTCTTCTATTCGGACTTGAATCCTGCCCTTAGAATTTTGAAGTGAGACCGTAAACACCTGTTAACCCTTCTTCATTTTATTCCTGCCCAAATCCTAGAACTATGGAAACTCAGAAAAGGAGATTAAGGAAAATTGTTCATTCACATTCTTTCTGAATACTCTGCACTCTTGATACACAAGGTGGTCTACAGACCAAGGTCATGAGCACCCTCATTACCATCCAAGAGTATGCTTGAAATGCAGAATCTTAGATGCTATCCAGGTCTACTAAGCCAAAATTAGCATGTTAGTGAAAGCTGCCAGTGTTTAATAGGCCCATTAAAGTTTGGAAGAACTGGTCTATAATATCCCCAAGAAGTAACCATGGACTACCTATGAGGGACATAGGTAAGAGTTACCCAATCTTGATTTATCCTATTTCATTTTCAAGAACTATTATTAGAAAAATCAACCTTCCTTCCTCCTTTCATTCTTCATTCTACCCTTCTTCCCTCTCTCCCTTCATCCCTTCTTGGCAAAAAAAAATATTTGAAAGGGAAGGGAAAAGTGTTAGTTGCTCAGTCGTGTCCCGCTCTTTGTGACCCCACAGACTGTAGCCCGCCAGGTTCCTCTGTCCATGGGATTCTCCAGGCAAGAATACTGGAGTGGGTTATCATCCCTTTTCCAGGGTATCTTCTGGACCCAGGGATTAAGCCCAGTTCTCCCACAATGCAAGCAGATTCTTTAACATCTGAGCCACCTCTGAGTGCCTATCTGTCCAGGCTCTATGGAAGGGGTGAAAAAGCTCCTTCATGAAGCTTACATTTTGGGAGAAGCCTTTTTTCTGTTTCTCAGTTCCTGCCCCTCCCCCCGTGTCTAGTCCCAGTCTCTATCCAACCCTACAATTAACAGCAGAATGAACAGAAATGAGAGTCATAACCAAGTGCTCCTTGGTTTATGGGTTGAACTCATCGTGTGACCATGAGCAATTAACCAAAATTCATTAAACCTAAGATTTCAACATGTAAAATGAAGACAGTATCATCTTTCCCATACGGTTGTTCTATCAATTTATTTACAAACTGCTGAGAAAAGAAGTAAAGTAAAGGCAAAGGAGAAAAGGAAAGATATACCCATCTGAATGCAGAGTCCTAAAGAATAGCAAGGAGAGTTAAGAAAGCCTTCCTCAGTGATCAATGAAAATAAATAGAGGAAAACAATAGAATGGGACAGATTAGAGATCTCTTCAAGAAAATTAGAGGTACCAAGGGAATACTTCATGCAATGACAGGCACAATAAAGGGCAGAAACAGTATGGACCTAACAGAAGGAGAAGATATTAAAAAGAGGTGGCAAGAATACACAGAAGAACTATACAAAAAAGATCTTCATGACCAATATAATCATGATGGTGTGATCACTCACCTAGAGCAAGATATCCTGGAATGCAAAGTCAACTGGGTCCTAGGAGTCATCACTACCAACAGCTAGTGGAGGTGATGGAATTCCAGCTGAGCTATTTCAAATCCTAAAAGATGATGCTGTGAAAGTGCTGCACTCAATATGCCAGCAATTATGGAAAACTCATCAGTGGCCACAGGACTGGAAAAGGTCACTTTTCATTGCAATCTCAAAGGAAGGCAATGCCAAAGAATGTTCAGACTACCACACAATTGCCCTCATTTCACACACTTGAAAAGTAATGCTCAATATTCTCCAAGCTAGGCTTCAATGGTACATAAATTGAGAATTTCCAGATGCTCAAGCTGGATTTAGAAAAGGCAGAGGAACCGGAGATCAAATTGCCAACATCCTTTGGATTGTAGAAAAAGCAAGAGAATTTCACAAAAACATCTACTTCTGCTTCATTGACTATGCTTAAGCCTTTGACTGCATGGATCACAACAAATTGTGGAAAATTCTTAAAGCGATGGGAATACCTGACAACCTTACCAGCCTCCTGAGAAATCTGTATGCAGGTCAAGAAGCTACAGTTAGAATGGGACATGGAACAACAGACTGGTTCCAAACTGGGAAAGGAGTATGTAAAGGCTGTATATTGTCACCCTGCTTACTTAACTTATGTGCAGAGTACATCATGTGAAATGCCAGGCTGGATGAAGCAAGCGTAAATCAAGATTGCCAGGAGAAATTCCAATAACCTCAGATATGCAGATAACACCATCTTTATGTTAGAAAGGGAAGAGGAACTAAAGGGCCTCTTGGGGAAGGTGAAAGAGGAGAGTGAAAAAGCTGCCTTAATACTCAACATTCAGAAAATGAAGATCATGGCATCCAGTCCCATCACTTCATAGCAAATAGATGGGGAAAAAGTGGGAACAGTGACAGAGTTTATTTACTTGGTCTCCCAAATCACTGCAGGTGGTGACTGTAGCCATGATATTAAAAGATGCTTGCTCCTTGGAAGAAAAGCTATAACAAACCTAGACAGCATATTAAAGAGCAGAGACATTACTTTGCCAACAAAGCCCCATATAGCCAAATCTATGGTTTTTCCAGTAGCCATGAATGGATGTGAGAGTTGGACTATAAAGAAAGCTGAGCGCTGAAGAATGGATGCTTTTGAACTGTGGTGTTGGAGAAGACTCTTATAGAGAGTGTCTTGGACTGCAAGGAGATCAAACAAGTCAATCCTAAAGGAAATCAATCCTGAATATTCATTGGAGGGACTGATGCTGAAGCTGAAGCTCCAATACTTTGGCCACCTGATTTGAAGAGTTGACTCATTAGAAAATACCCTGATGCTGGGAAAGACTGAGGACAGGAGGAGAAGGATATGACAGAAGACAAGATGGTTGGATGGCATCACTGACGCAGCAGACAATGAGCTTGAGCAAGCTCTGGGAGGTGATAAAGGACAGGGAAGCCTGGCATGCTGCAGTCCATGGGGTTGCAAAGAGACACAACCGAGCGACAGAACAACAACCATCAATCAATCAATTTATTTAAACAGTGTATATAAAGCCAGTGGCTCATGGTAGTCATCCAACAAGTAGGCAGGCACCAGTGAACATGGGAGGAGCTTCCACCCAAATCTGCAAGTCCATCCGTTTGCTTTGTTTTTCTTTTCTTCCACCCTCATAGAGTGTATTTTGGTTAAATGCAACCTGTTTGATTCAATGCTTTGGATC